AAGGAACTGACTTCTACAAATTGTCCTCTGACTCCCACATTCATGCTAACACACACACACACACACACCACACACACACACACACACACACACACACACACACACACACACACACACACACACGGAGGTCAGAGGACAACTTCCAGGAGTCCATGCTCTCTTGCCACCATGTGGCATGAACCCAGGGCATCAGGATCCCAGCTGCGGCAGGCCCCTTTACCTGCTGAGCTGTGGGGCCATCCCGGTTTAGTTTTTATTTCAAGCTGTTTTGTTTTGAGATGGGGTCTCCCTGTGCATCTCTGGTGGCTCCTGGAACTTGCTAGGTAGACTATGGTGGCTTTGAACTCATAGAGATCCTCCTGCCTCTGCTCCTGAGTGCTGGGATTAAAGGTGTGTTTTGACATACCTGGTTTATTTCCATCTCTGTGTAAAGGTGCCTGAGACTTCTCTGTTTTAGGGAGGTGTTCTCTCTGCCAGGGTCTAGAATACTGGTTCTCAACCAGTGGGTCGTGACCCCTTTGCCAAACATCTATCTCCAAAAATATTTACATTCCGATTCCTAACAGTAGCAAAATTACAGTTATGAAGTGGCAACAACAATAATTCTATGGGGGGGGGGTCACCACAACCTGAGGAACTGTATTAAAGGGTTGCAGCCTTAGGAGGGTTGAGAACCGCTGTAGAAATTCAGGAAGCTAACTCCTACCCATGACTTGATCTGATTGCTTGTGTTTGGTGTATACAATGAAAGGGAAGCCAACTTCCTCCATGAACTAGAACTCTTTCTCCACGCTGGGCTGGCCCACGGACAACTTAGTGATGTACAGGACCAGTGAACCCATAACCTGTATTTTGGCGGATAATTGCATTCCAGCTAAAGATTATAAAGTGCCACAAGACAGTTAAAAAAAAAATGCCTTTAAGAAAATATAAACCAGCTTTGTTTGATCTAGTTTACTGTAGGCACCCAATGTGCTATTAGCCTTCTTGAAATTTGGGCTTTTAAAACAGTTAAGAAGCAATTAAAAGTTTAATCTGGTGATTAAAAAATTAGCTCAGGTTGTTTTTGTTTGTGATGGGTGCATGTGCGTGCATGCATCTCTCTCTCTCTCTCTCTCTCTCTCTCTCTCTCTCTCTCTCTGTCTGTGTGTGTGTGTGTGTGTGTGTGTGTGTGTGTGTTGCTAGAGATGGAACCCAGGGCCTCACACATGTTGAGCACTTGTCCCACCACTCAGCTGCCTCCCAGCCCTGGCAGACTTCTTTCTGCTCTTTTGGTTTTTTTTTTTTTTGAGAAAAGGTCTTATGTATTGAAGGCTAGCCTTGAACTCACAGTGTAGCCCAGGATGACCTTAAGTTCCTGGTTTTCCAGCATCTGCTTCCCGAGGGAAGCTTGCCTGGCCTTTGTGTTCCTTCTGAGGATACATTAGAACTAGGTCATTGTTTATGTCTTCTTGCCAGAAACAATACAAGAACAGATCCTCGCCACAAGGGGGAGCCGAGCCACAGAGAAATTCAAGGACTGTTTGGATTCAGTGAGCAGGTGGATGATGAACTTCACGCTTTAGTTGCTCACACCCCATCCACAGGGCTTTCATTCACTTCCCAGTGACTTATTTTTGGTTGTGGAGAACAAACCCAGGACCAAACGGTTGATGGATGAGATGTGAATGCTCTGTCCCGGAGCTACGACCCCTGTCCTGTAGCTCAACTTTGCTTTGAAGGACAGACAGGCCCTTGGCTGGCTCTGGAGGTACTGCCTGGCCCAGAGTGCTCATTTCCTACAACTGTAACCCCTAAACCCGTGTCTTCCACCTGCAAACCGACACACCCAGGGTCTACAACTCCAGTCATCTCCACACAGTCAGAGGATCGTCCTGTTATTCTCACCCCAGGGTCAGGACTCAGGAAGCTCCTGCACCCCAGGACACATTAAAAGATGTTTCTGCTACCCAGTCCTGGTCTGCTTTTCCTGCCTCAACATCCTTCCTGCAGAAGATGTGCGCAAGGCTCTTGCCCTGATCGTCCCCTGACTTCTCGGTCTCCTCACTTCTGTGTGTGGCTCCACAAGATGGGGACACTGTCCTTGACCAACTATCTCCTCAATAGCACTTGCTATACACCCTACACTTGTGTGTGTGTGTGTGTGTGTGTGTGTGTGTGTGTGTGTGTGTGTGTGTTACATTCTAAGCTCCCTGAGGCCCAAGGAGGGTGTTGGGTATGGTCACTCTCTGCTTTATTCTTGGGACAGGGTTTCTCACTGAACCCGGAGCTGGGCTGGTGGCCAGCAAGCCCAAAGTGATCCTCTTGTCTGCACGCTGCTGTCCCTGCCCCTGGCCCAGCACTGAGATCAGCATCGAGGTGGAGGCCACGCCAGTTTTAGGTGGGTGCTGGGGATTGGAAGGCCGGCCACCATGTCTGTCACCCACTGAGCCAGCTCCCTGGCCCCCAATCTGCATTTTGCAAACCTGACCCCACAGTTCAGAAGGTACACCTCAGATTCTGCCTCTCCTCAGCACCACTCCCTGCTCCTCCCTAGGCCTCCGTCCTCACTCCAGTCCCCACAGCATTGCCAGAGCAAAAGTGGTACACGTGGGAGGAAGGTTTGGGGACAAGTGTGGCCATGGTTTCAGGAGTGTCTCTGAACCAGAGGTCGCAGTACATGCTTGTGATCCCAGAACCGGGGGGGGGGGGGGGGGGGGGGCAGGAGGATCACCCACAGTTGGGATCACACCCTGAGCCACATTGCCAGTTTTGAGGCCACTCTGACCCTGACTCAAAACAACAAAGGAGGCTGGCAAAATGGTTGAGAGGGCGAAGGTGCTCGTTGCCAAGGCCAGTAACCTGTGTTAGCTCCCCAGGAGACTGGTTGAAGGAGAAGGTTGTCCTCTGACCTACACACACACACACACATACACACACACACATACACACACACACACACACACACATACACACACACATACACACACACATACATACACAC